GGCAAGTTTAAATAGTTTAATTTAAATCAGTTAAAGGTATTTATCTTTAATTTGCAGTTTTGATATATTTGAAAGGTACAACATTTAAGACACTTTTAAATAGTTTAATTCTAATAAGTTAAATGCATTCATCTCTCATTTGCAGTTTTGATATATTCGAGAGGTGCAATGTTTAAGGCAATTTTAAACAGTTTAATTCAAATCAGTTAAATGCATTTATCTTTAATTTTTTATGGCATCTTTTTAATTTAAATTAATTAACTTTAATTTAAGTTAATTATAAAAATAAATATTTCTTTTTTAATTTAAGTTATTATAAAAATAAAAACTTTCTTTTTAATTAATGTCAATACAAAAGAAAAATAACTTTATAAAGTTATATATTGTAGTTCTTTCTTTCAAATAATTAATATTTTTATTGGTAATTATATTAATATAGGTGTGTGTTGTGTACCCCAAAAATTTGTTATGAGTATCGTACCCAAAAAATTTAGACTAATAAAAAAGAGAGAAAGAAATTTTATAATTAATAATTATAATATTATATTATGACATAATAACTTATCCTCCTGTCTTTCATTGTATTTTCTAAATCTTAAAGTAAGAAAGAAATTTTTCCTTATTTGGTATATATAAGGTAAAGTACAAGTTGTTTGTTTGAAATAAAATTTCTCCAAAATGGCGACCTAGGAAGGTAGATTGGAAGATAATGGTTTGAATCCTTCATTTGTAGTTTTCTCATAAGTTTAGAAATAAAAATTAAGTCAATAGTATGGACATAATTTTAGTCAATGAAAAGGTAAAGCTATTAGATTTCTTTAGTCATAGTGTATAAAAATTTCTTATTATTTAATTTATTTCCTTCATTATCTCTTATTATTTCATAATTCAAGGATTCATTATACTGTTAGGAAAGATATTATATCACGTTATAAAAAACTATTCCATGAAGGCAATGTGTATATCATGGAAAATTATATGGTAAGTACTCCCGAAAAGAATATGCGAACCATTAAACACAAATGGAAGTTAAATTTAATGGCAACCACTAGAGTTTCAGAAGTCAAATGTAAAAACATCTTTTTTAACTATTTTGATTCTATTCTATTCTAAAAAATTTTAAGTAGGCTGGATGAACTATATTTAATTGGTGAGTTTTATTTTTATTTTATTTTAATCGCTTTCATATTTAACCTTGTGTGCTACTTTATTATTTTAAAAGAATGTTTGACATGTGTTCAATTAGATATCATTGGTCATGTAGTTGAGAACGATGATCTCAAAGAGACAGCAAAAAATAGAAAAAAAAGAAAATATATTAATTTGGTTCTCGAAGATTTGGATTGAGTATTATTTTACAACATATTTTAATGGCTAAAATATTTATTATTTATTTTCTCCCTTTCATTACTTTATATTAATTAAAGGTCATATTATATTAAATTTGTTTCATAGAAATTAGATAATTACTTGCATTTTATGGGAGGAGTTTATTGATCAAATTGGTTAATTTTCTACACAATGAAAATTCTAATACTTTACCTATTATGGTTATTCAAGTATGTAAAATGAAAACATTTAATGGTATGATTCTTTATCTATATTGAATTCCTTTTAATTGTGTGATAGTTATTATTATCAATATATTAAAATTATTTTTTTATTATTCATTATTAATGTTGTGGTATGTATGCATGGATGTTACATTATTACAAATTCATTATAAGGGCCATTTTTAAACTTTATAAAATCAAAATTATTAATTTATAAATTAAAATAATATTTCAGTCTAATTTTTTTACTTTTAAAGTTAATTTAGAAATAATTAAAAGTATATTGTAAGTCTTAATGCAATATATGAAATATTTTAAATTTTAAAATAATGACTTAAACAATGAATATATGAATCAGTAATAATAGTTTGGCTGACTTCCCAACCATGTCCCAACTAGACATGATATTGGTTTTAGAAGCACAAGCTTATTCTTGATGGGATAAATTATGATAGAGAAGCATTAGCTACTGAACACATTCATTTATTGTCTAAATTTACATCTGAATAAAGAAGCATTTATGACAAAATTGTGTCAGCTATTTCTGAAAATGCTAGAAGAGTTGTTTTCATTTATAGTTATAGTGGTACTGGCAAAACTTTAATTTAGAAGACCATATTTGTAACTATTCGATCTAAAAGAGAAATCATTCTCACTATTGCATCCAGTGGACTTTCTGCTTTATTAATACCTGGAGGCAGTTTTGCTCATTTGAACTACATTATCTAGTGTTGGAAGTCACAAAGAACATGAGACTTCAAACTAGAAGTTATAATTCAAAGGTTGATGATTTTAAAAACATTTTAGATTGGATTTTGGGTATAGGTAATGAAAAAATTGGTAAACAATTAAATGAGAAAATTATGGTTCAAATACCAGATGATCTACTCATGAAGGAAACTGGTAATTCAGTTGCTTTCTATTGTGTAGTCAACATATCCATCTTTTTTAGAAAATATGATACATCCTTTATTTCTTCATGTTATACTAGCACCAACTAATGAGATTGTTGACATGATGAATAATTACATGTTAAACTTAATTCTATCAGAACAAAAAACATATCTTAGTTTTGATTGCACATGTAAAAGTGATGCAGATTTTGACAGGCCTGATAATATTCATACTCTAGACTAAATCATGAGTTGAAGCTAAAGATTAATGTTCCTATTATGCTATTACCAAACATAGATATAGAATTCGATTAGTAATTACTGTGATAGAAACTTATATCTTTTAAGTTAAGGTTATTTATGAAACAATGCTGGTTAAAAGATATTCATACTAAGATTATCTTTGACTCCTATAGATACTGAGATACCTTTTAAGTTTCAAAAATAATAATTTTTAATTGCTCTTTCTTTTGCAATGATAACTAACAAAAGTCAACGACAATCTCTTAAGCATGTTAGAATTTTCTTTACAAAACCACTTTATAAAGTTATATATTAAATTTCTTTCTTTCAAATAATTAATATTTTTATTATTAATATTATTTATATATACTAATTAATTTTAAACTTTAAAATAGTTTAAACATTATCATAAAAATTTTATAAAATTGATTTTCTTTATTTTATAATTAATAATTATAATATTATATTATGATATAATATAGCATATATTGACTTTGTTCTTATCATAACATTTGTCTATATGTTATACATGACTCATAAATTTTATATTATATCAACATGTGTAATTTTAATTGATACAAGGATTCATTTTTGTATTTAAGAAAATTTCTTCTCTTTTATTTTTTATTTAAATCTTAATTGAAATTTTTAAATATATAAAATATATAAAAATTTGTATATAAAAACGTATTTATCATATTTTTTAATTTGATTATATTTGATATTATTCAATATAATAAAATTTTATTATTACATATTTTTTATATTTAAATTATAATCTTTTTATTTTAAAATAAAACAACTTAATAAATAATATAAACAAATTTGTGTAATACATAAATATATTTACTAATTTATAACACAATTATTATTATTAAGATTTACAATATTTAAAGTCATATATAAAATAATTTTAATTGTTATATTTATTTTTATAGGTTTAAAAAATAATCAAAATTTTCACTTAACATTTTTTATGTTTTTGTTATATTAAAAAAATTATTTTTATATATTTGTGCAAATCCGTGCAACTCACAAGCATATTTACTAAGTATAAGAGAATTAATATTATTTTAATCCTAAATTGTGTGCTATATAATTTTGTAACATAAAATATGTTTTTAGTATTATAAATATAATTAATATTTATTTTATTCTTTCAATAGTTTTAATTTTAAAAAATTTTAAATATATTAAAATTAATTTTTTTATTATTGATCATTAATGTTGTAATATATATGCATGTTATATTATTACAAATTAATTATAAAGGTCATTTTAAAACTTTATAAAATCAAAATAATTATTTTATAAATTAAAATAATATTTAAGTTTAATTCTTTTACTTTTAAATTTAATTTATAAATATTGAAAAGTATATTGTAACTCTTAATGCAATATATGAAATATTTTTATCAGTAATAATATTAATATATATTAATTAATTTAAATTTTAAAATGAATTTAATATTATCTTTATATAATTATTTTTTTATTTTATAATTATTAATTATAATATTATATTATAATATAATAATTTATCTGTGCATCACAGGCGTCTCTTTTTTAAGTATATATATTAATAAAAGTCACTTGCTGCTTTTCTACACCAAAACATTTCAAGAAGAAATGTGAAGCTGATACAGTTATTTTATGGGATAAAAATGCTTCTTCATACATTGCATTGTCAACATTAAGAAGAGGTGTCTTCAAACCATCAATTAAATATAATACCTAACGCAATTGAATAAGAACATATTCATCAATCACATATGATACATTATTTTTCTCATTTCCAACTATCGCACAAAAATAGGTAGTAATAAAATAAGTTTGCAGAAAACATTATTAGTTTTCAAGTAAAATATTTTATATAACTCAAACAATTACTTATTTCTTCTACAAATTCTTCTACATATGCATACGGGTTTGTTCGTAATGGTATTCATAAGCTAAAGCATTTGTGTATTGGGGAGTTGTTTTACATTGCAACTCCATATTGTTAATTCATTGATTTTTAATATAAAAGTATCTATATTGTCTTCAGTAGTAATAAAAAGTTACAATATATTCAGGCATGTAGAATTAATTTGTTTAATATCTAAAAAAGTGTGAGAGTAAGAGAGAAAAATTATTGTTTAACATAACATTTGATATAACAGAACAAAACACTTGAAATTTAATCGAGTACATGTTTATTCTTTAACCACTAACTATTGTAATGTTGCAATCCCGCAATTAACATGCCTAGCTTTTGTTTTTATTCAATATAAAAATGCATAAACTTTGTCACCACCAACAGAGTCTAATCTTATACATTCGCATCTTTATCAGAAGTAATGTTTTTTCCCTTGTCGTCGACCATTGACTCTTTTTCTTCATCAACATCCTCTTTCTCTTTAGATGCAATAGTACTGCATTGTAACAAAATAAAAAATTTAAAATACACACTTAAAATAATAATAATAAAAGATATTTATCAATAGCACAACAAAATACCTTGATTCTCCTTTCTCATGAGAACTGGAAAAGAACTCCTGAGTATGGTCCATGAGACACCCATGAGTCCAATAGGTTAAGGGGGATTAGGTAATGATATTTAATAAAATAATATAATTTAACAATAATAAATAATAGATATCAATCTTATTACAAGAAATCTTACAGTTCCACCCAAGTTTGGAAATTGTATGCTAGAATCACCAAGTTGGGTATTCTGCTGTGGGAGATGAAAGGCAGATGAACCAGCAAATGGGGAAATACCCATTTGCACAGTTGAGTTTGCTTGATCTCTACAATATGCAAGCAATCTATTAACATTTTCTAGTTGCCTCTCACAAGACTGTATTTGAGACCTTAGATTCAATACATAACCAAGAGGACCATGATGTATATCATTTATCCATGTAGTGCCCTCTCTAAGTATAGAATCTGCAGCATGTTGTCTGTCTTGTGGATCTACATCTTGCATAATTCTCAAAAGGTTGCTTAAACCAAAAAGCATGGAAGCATTTTCAAAATCCACAGTCCTATTAATGGGAAAGTATTGCCCAAAAATACAACTGTGATCATGCCTTCTACGGTGTTGCTTGCATATAAGACATGGATAATTACCTCTATTTTCATCATTCATGATTTCTAGCTTGATATTTAAATGCTTATACTTATCAACAAGAATGTAAAAACTTTGCCTATATGTGCTTACAAAAACTAAAGATTGCTTATCAACATGAATATGCACAAACCTAGTTAGTGTATATATAAATATAAGAACAAAGAAAATATATGACTTTTCCTTTAATTCTATGATTTTTTAAGAAATATTTTTATTTAATTTATATTGGATATGAATTTATTAATTTATTCAAAAGGTAGATTCCTTTTCCCTAAATATTTAAAAAATTCCATGTACTTAATTAACATATAAAACTTTTTATAATTAGCAAGATATTAAAATATTAATTTATGAGTCTAGAATTTACCAATAACTATTCACATAATATCAAAATGTATGCATCCATAATGTTTATTATTGAAATATTTACTTTTATTTTTTGATAGCTCCTCTTAGCACAAATTACTGGTACTTTTGATGTTATCATAATCTTAAACAGAAAATAAAAATAAATGTAATTAATTTTTATAAAAAGTAAAAAATATTTATATAGATGCAAAATAATAATATTTAGAATGGGCTATTAATAAGTTTTACCATTAAAAGTAAGTATCAATTGGACAGAAAATATTTAGTACAGGGTCAGGATAATAAGATGCAAAATAATAAGATTTAGAAATGTTTTCTTTTTCTAAATACTAATTATTAAATTTAGTTTATGATTTTTTTTCTTTTTTAATTTTCATTTTTCATATTTTGTTATATTTCAAAAATTTAAATCAGAATATCTACGTATACATGTATGGTAGTGCGTACAGGCAATAACACAAATACACACGCTCATATGATTAAATATGAATTCTTTAATTTTCTTTAATTATGTTTTCTTCTTCATTCAAGGGTGATTCGTTATGTATCAAAATTTTAAGCATAAGCAATATCAATCACACAATACAATATGAATTAAAAATATAGAAAATTAAACTTATTAAAATAACAATGATATTAATTTTAATAAATAAGTATAATAAAAAAAATTTCAGTCAATCTATTTACTTTTATATTAAAATAAAAAATTTCACTTAACAGTTTTTATGTTTTTATTATATTAAAAAAATTATTTTTATATATTTATACAAATTTGTACAATTTACGGACATATTTATTAAGCATAAGAAAATTGATATTATTTTAATCTTAAATTATGTACTATATAATTTTGTAACATAAAATATATTTTTAGTATTTATAATATATATGTGTGTGTTCCGCTATTATAAATTAATTATAATGAAAAAGATTTCAGTCAATCTATTTACCTTTTTTCTACTTAGTTAATTGTATTCCTTTTTTAATACATTCATTATACCCATAATTTATGCATTTTTTTTATATATTTCAAACTAACAACTATAAAATTATAATAATAAAAATTGTTGTTCTATATATTTTAATTCATATATTATTTTAATTTTAATATATACGAATAGTGTATCAAATAATTTTAATATAGTGATTAATTTTAAAAATAAAATGAAGATGGATCTCTATCTATTATATTATATTATAAAAGTTATGAAAAATAAAACTATATTGACGTTAAATTTTCAATGAGTAATTAAGAATAAATAAAATTTATTTTGTAATAAATATTTATTTTTTACTTTATTTAGTTTTTTTATAATAAATATTTCTTATTATACTCGTAGTTTGTGATATTATTTATTTAGTATTTAAAAAACTATTTAATATTAATTTGAGTATTAGAAAATTATGACATTAAATAAATTCCTTAAAGGACGTCAAAATAATCATTTTACTAAGTTAGAAAATAGAATATAAACTAATTCTTTTTATATATTTTACTATTTGAAGGAATTAATATCTTAAATATTTAGAAGACTAAATTAATGTATAGTATAAATCTTTGAAGAACTAAAAAACTTTAAAATATTAAAATCATATTTATAAATTAATTTTTTTATATCTTATTTTTCTTTTTTTCTTATGGTAATCATTAAATATACATAACAATAGATTAATATAATAAATAATAATAAAATATTGCTTAACAAAAAAAAATATAATAAATTATCAAATCGACTTCAATGGTTTAATAGTATAAAATCGATTAAAAACTAGTAAAAAAAAATTAAAACATGTTGAATTTGGTAAGAAATGGTGAAAAAAATCAAAGTTAAACTGGTCTTTTGAAAAAAAATATTATTATCTTTTAAGAAATTCTAAAATATTTATTAAATGAATATAAAGTCATCAATATTAATATTTACATATAAATTATTATTATTTAACTATTTATTATAATATTTTATCTTCTAAGTCATATAATATATTTTTCTATTAATCTAAAATTTTAATTGATTGTTTAACTAAATATAAATACTCCATAACTATCGATAACAAGGTCTGATCGATCCATAATTAGTCCTTTTTTTTTTTACATTACTTTGTACCTTTGATGAATGAAACATGAATGATTCATTCAACTTAACATCTGTGCTGATTATAAATTTTGGTGGCTTTGTTTCAACACACTACAACTTGTAAACCTTCACAGTAAATATATAACTAAGAAATAGCCATTTTTGTGAATTTCACTCTAATTTTTCATTGTTCATATGAGCATAAGTAGGAGTCCCAAAAATTTTAAGATAAAAATAATCAGCAGAAGTTTCAGATCATATCTCAATAGAAGTTTTTTAACTCAATTGCAATTGTTAGAGATCAATTTACCAAATTAAAAGCCATATTAACGGTTTCAAAGTAAAATTCCTTGGACAAACTAGTATTAGAGAGTATGCACTAATTAAGCTCTCCCCAAAAGAGTCTTGTTCATACATTCGCCACTGCATTTTGTTGTAGTTTCATCTGCACATTACTGTGCTTACGATGCCTTCGTTCTTGCATAATATTAAACTATTATTCACAAACTCTAAACCATTATTAGTTCTGAAACACTTTTAAATAAGCATTTTTCACTTTATCAGCATCAACCTTGTCGTTTTAATAGGCTTTTCTTTCGATTAAGTTTTTATTTTGATTCGATTTTTAATTATGTTTAGTTTAGTTTTTTTGTGCATTAATTTTTTTTGTAACTGAATCTATAACTAGGGATACAGAAATCTTGTATTATAAATTTAAGTTTAATTTTTTTTCCTTTTTCATAAATTTTTGTTTATGTTCAATAGGTTCTAATTTACTGCTTTAGATTACGTATCAAGATTTGATTAACTTGTTGCTATATAAGTTAGTTACATGATAGGCAATTAAACCATTACCAATTAACACACATCTATAGAAACGAAATTTAGGATTTTGCATGATAAATTTTAATCCAAAATTATCAATCAGTTAATATATATTTTTAATTCTATATCTTGCACAATCATTAAAGAGAAAGTCTTAGAAAAAGATTATTAATATTGTATAATCACTGAATTTTGATAGATTTATAATATGTAATTGTAAATCACAAAAGAATATGAATTAGGACCTCGGTAAACAACACAGGTGAAATTCAATGCTATAGGTTTGTTCATAATTAAACCTCATGATTTTTAGTTAGTTGGTCTGAATTCTTTTCTTTTTCCTTGCTTCTTTTTCAATTCTTTTATTCTCTTTGTACTATTTCATAACATTTCATCATCTTTACTCACCTAAATAATTAGAGGTTAATAATCTTAAATATTAGTAGTTTCTAAGAGACGATATTTGGGTCTTGACAATTTTTTTTATTAGTTGTCAACAAGTACACTTGCCTGTTATTTTGCAAAATATTTCATTATAATTTTTTTAAATTATGAAGACTTATAACTTAATTTAACCAAAATAATTGTAAAAAAATATTAGAAAACTTTCCAACCTTATAATTATTCAAGTGCAATTACGTGGATTAAAATTTGTTTACTTTTAACTTCTATTTCAAACATTTCTATATTTTCAAACCACATATTAAGGGTTGGATTCAAATCCACACCATCGCTCAAGTGGTAAAACTATGGGTTCATGAGCTGTAGGTGCGAAGGGCAAATCCCAAAATCTAAGAAAATACCACTCATTTCCCTTGCTCGACCGTACCCCTACAATATAACTTAATTTTCATTTATGATCCATCAAGAATGTATTAAAAGTTTTCAATTTATTCATATTTCATTCAACAAAATATTAGGGCAGAAAAATATGAGTTATTCGATCCAATTCGAGCTTTTGGTTCGTTGGGTCACACCAAAAAAAATCACTTTTTTTTTTACCCTTAAAAAAAATTTAAATCCTACCTACCTAATTTATGTCTAAAATTTAAAAGTCAAACTCCATATTTTAATAGCCTTATCCGAATCAACCTAACCCATTTTGTCAATTTTACAAAATACCATCTACCTCATCCATTAATTATTTATTATAGATAGATTTCCTTCTCATCCATTCAAAGGAAATGTATTTTTCAAAAACCAAATTATAAAATATAGTTCAATATTTATACACTTTCTTAATTATAATCTAAAACTCGTCAGCTGAAGCTATACGTAATCACATTGCCACTCCTAATATTGCACAAGCCTCCCCACTAGGGTTTGAACAAAAAGGATGATTTTAAAATGTAAACAAAAGCTAAGAAAGTATCAAGAACTGAACTACAAATATTAAAAAGTAAAGATAATCAACTTTTGGCATATTTATGTATACCATCGTCTTATGTTCAGGCCTGTGAGTAAACTCAAAATCAATGTGCACGAAGGCTCTTTCAACTTCTGGAAGTTGCTCAAGCTTCTCTTGTAGTGTCTCACCAATGTTGTGTGCTTGATTAAGAGGCATGTCCTCTGGCAACACAATATCAACTTCAACAAAGTAATGAGCACCGAAGGTGTATGCTCTGACAGTATCTATGTGCTTAACCTCTTCGTGGTGATTCCATATCAAATATGTCAACTTTGCTAAAAAATCAGGTGGTGCTGTCCTCCCAATAAGTGACCATACATTCTCAATCACTGTCTTTGCCCATGTATTAATTGTATACAATGCTATCTACATTAGATATTCAAATTATCATAATCAATCACTTATAGAGTCGGGTATTTTCCAAGTCATGTGAAAATTTTGTAATTTTTCTCTCTTCATAATATTTACAAAATTTGATAAAGATTAACATGATTAATGTTTCACAGAAAGCGAGAGACTCAAAAGTTTTCTTATGAGAGGATCATGTTACGTTTTAACATGAAAAAATTTAATTCAAAAGGAAATACAGAGATAAAAAAAGGTATATATTAGTAGTTATGAACTCACAATAATAGCTCCCATAGGATCAATCCACCAATTATACTTGATAGCAAGCACAGCAGCAGCTAATCCAACTGAATTAGTTATGACATCAAAAAAATGATCTTGTGCATAGGCTTTGACAATTTCGTTATCAAACCTTGGACAATAGACCATGAGAATGAACTTCACAACAGTCACAGATACCATAATCCCAATCATCCATTTCAAGTCATCAAGATCCATTTCAGGCATAGACTATAAGATAACAAATGAAAACAAAATATTAAAAACTTGTAAGGTTCACAAAAAATCTATAAAATAGAACAATTGTCAATAGACTCTCCCACACTTCACAATTCACAAGAATGCGTAAAAACTAACCAGTTTTTCATCCATGTGCTTACAAATCCACTCTTACACATACCTGATCCTAACTTAATTGTGTAAACTCAATCAAAGGGGTATCATTACATATAGAAAATTAAACAAACACTTGTCGCAATTACCTTTGAAATCAGTTGTCGGGCAGACTCTATCAGAATCTGCAATCCCAAGGTTGCCATCACTGATGCAAAAACAATGATACCCTGCATAAGAAGTCCTAGTTAATATGTATGTCTCTTAATTTTCAAGAATCATATCCAATTATTGACATTTTCACTCATGACAATAGAAAACTCTTGCTAGACTAGACTACATTTACCAAATTTCACTCAATGTTCACCTTACACTCTTAACATGTTATACTTATTAAGACTAGCTTACCACTGGTTGCATCCGTTTCTTTCCAATGGGATAGTAATAATAATGGTTTGGGCTTTTCATGGCATTGGCCGTGAACCATAATATAAATCCTGACAAGAGATCCAAGAGAGAATCTAGTGTTGAAGCAATGACTGCTAAGGATTTGCTCTTTATTGAAGCATAAACCTTTGCTGCAAATAGCACCATGTTAGCTGCATTTGACACATTAACTGCTAACCTCTCACTTCTTGCTAGTTGCTTCATTTCTTCCTGAGATACATAGCGCTGAGTTTGAGGAAATAATATCCTTATAATTTAACGAAATGCCGATATTTCATAAGTAAAAACACAAATCCAAACAATTTTTCATCAGCATTTGTTTGAGGTTATCAAGATCAAATGGATAATTCAATAATTTCACTGAGACTACTGTGAAAGGTAAAACATAATTTTCAATCTCTTTAAACATGTATAAATTTGATTTTAGTCTTTCAAAATATTTTTTGTTGCTTGTGATATATTTAAATTGAAATTTTTTAAAAGTGGTTCCTATTATCTCTGATTTATAATATGGTGGCTTGCATATTTAAGTATGTAACATCACATGCCACTTCAGAATAGTTACAAAAGTGCCATATTTAAATACATGTTATGTTAGTTACATCTGTGATATGGTGATAGAATAGTGAACCTCAGTGAGACTTCCCGGGAAATAACCCATTTCAGTCATAGTATCCATGTCATTATATCCTTCAAGGAGCCTGTCCTGCTTTTTGTAGTATTATGCAACCTTGCGTTGCTTCTCTGAAATCAAAACATAAACAAAATGTTACTCAGAAGAAAACCACCTAATTAATAAACAAGATTGATTTAAAAGAGGAGATATTTTGAAACTCTTTTATGTTGGGTTAAATTTGATACTTTGATTGATTAATTTTAATCAATTTAATTTATAAAAAAAATTAAGTAAAAAATGAGAGTTTAAAAATTTGAAATAAAGAAAAAATTTGTCCGGGAGCCAAATTTGTTAACTTAATTAAAAAAATTACGAGACTAAAATTGTATATAATTCAATTAGAATGAATAAAAATGTAATTAAAGACAATAATTTTTTTTCTTAAATTAAAAAAACACATGTATTCTTTAAATTTTAGAGCAGTTAAATAAAAAAAATTAATAAATTATAACAACAAATACATAGCCTTTTTTTTTTCAGAACTAAGCCACTATACTAAAGGACATGACCCTTTAGTTTCTTTCTTTATCTTGTACATATAAATATTATCAATCAAACCCTTTCAATATTAATTTTGAAGAGAACATGTTACATTCATTCCCAGTTGAGTGGTATATTCTATTACCCACGAGGAATCACTTTAGAACCTAAACCCACCCATAACTCGATAAAGAGAATAAAAACAAACACCACCAAAACAATCCAAAGAGGGAAAAAAGAAAAGATAAGAAACTTTTCTTATACGCTAAGATTCGCTTAATGGTTCACAAACAAACAACGCCTAATTCAACAAAACTAAACCGACCCATTACACGAAACAAAAAGTTTTTTTCCAAGTTAAAAATTATTTTTTTATCTTTTTTCAAAAAAATTAAACATACTGATATCATTTCATTTCTTTATTTTATATATCTACTAAAATGGTGAAAACATGGTTTTTATAATTTAAATTTATTATTATATAAATCTTTGATGATAAAAAATGAAATAAAAATAAAGCAAAATTTTGCAATTACTTAGAAAATAATGCATACATTCTCATATCAAAGAATTTTTCCCTTTATTTAAAAAGAACTTGTCATATGTGTTCTGATTTAAGGAAAAAGAAGAAAAATATATTTTTTTTTAAAAAGGAAAGTAAACGTATCTAATTTAGTTTCTTTTTTTCAAAGAAATTATTTATTTATTTATTTATTATAAGAAAGATTTTAAAAAAATTCTCTTAAAATAAATTATCTCAAACATGAGCTTATTAATTTATCAGCACAGGAAAAAAATAAAACTAAAAAATTAATTATTTAATTTATCTTATAAATATTAAAAATGTAAAATTTTAAGATAATTTAATTAGTTAATATGTTTTAAAATATTAATTTTTTCTCTCAAGTATTAAAAGAAAGATAAAAATATAAACACGATCACTCCCTCGCTTCTCTTTTTTTTTTAACTAAATATCAAATTCAAATAAAAAATTATAAAAAATCTTCTCTTTTTCAATAATTTATTTTAATTTATCTTTTATAATTTCATAATAGCATTTTAAAAATAAAAAATTACTTTTCTATACATTCAATAGAGTAAATTTTTAAATATTTTAGGAATGCCCATTCTTTTTAATTATTTTTTTCTTTTTTAATTTATAAAAATTATGTCGAAAAAAAATAATCATATAAAATACATGTTGATGTTTTAAAATAAGTATGTCTTCCAATAGTAATGAAAATTTTTTTTATGTAATTAAGAGGATCCGGATCACCTGCAGTTATGACGGGAACTGCAATTTTCTATTCGTTTAAACGAATTTTAATAAAAAATAATTTTAGCTTAAGTTAAAATTCAATTTTTGTTTAAGTAGTAAAAAAATCAGAAAAAAAAAAGAGAAAGTGAGACTGAGAGGGAAATTAAAGAAAGAAAAGAGAGAAAAGAAAAAGACTGAGTGAGAAGGAAAGAAAAAAAAGGTGACTAAACTAGAAAGAGGAAGAAAAGGAAGTATTTTTTTTTTACTGCATATTTTTGTTTAAGCCAATACCTAAGAAAAATAAGAAAAATATTATAATGTATTTTTACTTTCATTTAAGCAAATTTTACTAACTTAAATAAAAATTAGCTTAATCAAAAATCACTTTTTATCGCTGAAGAAGAAAGAAACACGAGAATAAAAAGAAGCAGAGACAGAAGAGGAAGAGGGAAACTCACTGGGATTGCGAAGAAGGCCACCGAAATCGAAGGAACGAGTGTGATGATTATCATTATTGTTAGTATTGTGACTTTGGCGTGGCAATTGAAACTCCTTCACATTGAGTCTCCACGATAACGACGACGAGTCTCCGGCAGCATCGTCTACCAGCAGCGGTTCCCTTCTTCCGGTCACGGCGGCTGCGGCGTCCTGTCCTCCGCCACTCTCCAACATCACTATTCCTTTCTTTCAGTTTTGTTATGTGCACGCTGTGATTAACTACTAACTACCGTATATGGTGTTAACTTATAGGAAAGCCACGGACGGGAAAATTTGTGGTGTGTGACATTGTAGGATAGTTGAAGTGGGCCTCACACGTGGCATCGTTTACAGGATTTTGATTTTGATTTTGGACCAGATGATCTAATCAAGAGGACTTACCGTCACATAAAAAAACTTAGCTACAACTTTACAATACAAATACTTAAAAAAACTAAATGATGTGTTTCAATATATATTTAAGAAAAGGTAGTTTTCCACTGTGGTTGGCTTTACGGTATTCTATATTCCTGCACGCAAAATAATAATTATAGTTAATTTTATAATAGAATAATTGTTAGAAAAACTCTTTAGTTTAAAAGAATTATAGTGATTAATTTAAAGAGAATATATAATTTTTTTTAATTTATACTATTATAATAAACATCTTTAAAAAAAAATTTACTTGAGGCTAAAAATTTTAGATGTTTTTTTAAGAGGAATATTTTTTATTTCTTAGTAATTTAAATAATAAAATTGTATATTTAATGAAAGAGTTATTTTTATTTCAAAATAATAAGGAATCTTTAAAAGTTATATGACTTTTAAGGATTTGCATGTTTTTTAAAAAATTATACGGTTAATTTATATGTTTTAATTTTAATTATTTATGATAAAATTTATTGTGCGTTTAGATTAGTCAAAAAATTAAATTATTTGAATAATCAATTAAATCTATAATAGATTGTTGTGATAATTAATCATGTATAATAAGTTTTATGATTAGATGTGTCCAAGTGATTTTAAAACAAGCTATATATTTGGGTTGTATAGAAAAATTATTATTTTAGGTTATATTATAAAAAAAAAGTAGAGTTATGATAGTTGGTTTTTTTATTTTAAATAATTAATTTTACATTAAATGAGAATATACTATGTTGTTAGTGATGGAGTTATTTTTCTTTATACTTAGTAACGTATATATTTTAGCATTAAAATTGACTGATTTGTGATATTTTTACTCTTTATTTATAAATTTATTAATTTTTAATAAATTTTAAAAAATACAAATTGTTACCTAACTTTCATTTATTATTTTATATAAATTTTAGAGATTTCATGATCACTCATTTTTACAATTATAAAAATTATCTTAATTTTTTAATTTCTATAAATTTAGAATTTGCTTTTAAAAGTTTAATTTTTTTAAATTTATAGTTATTAATATATATTAATTATTTATATTTAATTAAATTTATTTAATATTACTGAATAAATAAAAGTATTATTTTAAAATAAATTATGCTTTAAAATCATTTAATTTTATTAAATATTTATATTCAAAATTATATAATTAAATTAAAATATTTTAAAAAAATTATTGTTTAATATATATATATGTATATAAAATTATATTTTTAAAATTTTTAAATAATTTATTTTTATTCTAAAATAAATAGATGTATATTACACAAACTATTAAATCAATCATTGAAAATGAGAAAATAAAAGTTAAATAAAATATAGGTACATAACTTTTAATCATGAGTTTCAAAATTTTATTGATATCCAATAACTTGTTTTTTTTTATAAAAAAATAGTAAAAAAACAAAAAAACAATCAACTATCGTAAATTAGTTTTTTAAAATACTAAACAAAATTTTTACTCTTTAGAATTAATATTTTCACTTAGTATTAAGACAATAAGCTATAGACTTAATATCAACAACATTAACTACATCTGCATATCTTATATGTTTTATTATTTTTTTATTGTTCTCCTTATTATTATACCTTGTGACTTATTTGATACTTCTTGTATTTCACTGAACTAGTTTATAGGATTTAAATTTTTGTTATTTAGACATCAATTTCAATCTTTACCTTTTGACAAATTTCTTGATATGAACATTTATTATCTACAAGATTTTCAACTTTCTCTTTCTCATTAAACATAATTTACTCATAAAAAATAACATTTTTTAATAATAAATTTTTGTGTCCTATTCTTTTTGGTACACCATAATCTATATCCTTTAATATCTATGGCATATCCAAGAAATATATATTTTATTACCCTTTACTCTAATTTTTTTTATCACTAACACAAGCATAAGCAAGACAACTAAATATACGCAAGTCAGAATAATCAGAAGGTTTGTTAGACCATACCTTTTAAGGAATCTTTAAATCAATTGCAATAGATAGAGATCTATTTACCATATAGCTAGTAGTATTAACTACTTCAGCCCAAAATTGTTTAGAAAGATCAACATTCAACTGCATGTAATAAGCACATTGTGGAAGTGTTTGATTTATCTGCTCAACAACACTAGTTTGTTGGGGTGTTTTTTGAACAGTATGATGTCTTACTATGCGTATCTTTTTGCAGTAATAATCAAATGGTGCATTGCAGAAGTTCAATCTAATATTTGTTCTAAGAGCTTTAACTTGTTTACAAGTTTATTTTTTAATCAGAATCTTCCATTCTTTGAGCTGCTCAAACACTGCATCATTTGTTTTTAGAAAGTACACTCAAGTCTTCCTAGAATAGTTGTCAATAAACGTCATAATACCTACATCTTACATGTGACTCCATTTGAAAAGAATCTCGTTAATCACAATGAATATATTGTAGGATTTCTATAGAAGTGTGCTTGTCATGATTGAATTAAAGTCTGTATTGCTTGCCCATAACACAAGACTCACAGAACTTCAATTTTTCGGTCATTGCTCTACCCAATAATCCTTATTTGCTCAAAACTGCAAGTCTCCTTTCACTCATATGCTCCAATATATGATCTCACAATTATGTATTATTAGTATGTTACTCTAAGGAATGAGATATTGACATCTTTCCTTCAATAGAACTGCCCAATATAGTGTAAATACCATGTTGTAATCTTCCTTCCATTACAACCAGAGCACCTTTAGAAATTACAATATGTCATCCTTTCTCAAAACATTGTGCTCTTGTTTATCCAAGGTATCCACATAAATTAAGTTTTTTGCAAATCAAGAACGTACTAAGTATTAAGCATTCTAACAATGTCATCATACATATTTATTTGCTTTCACACTAAGCTCTTTATTGTCTCCTAATTACACACTGCCATTATATTCTTTAAATGAAATGAACAATGCTTTCTTGTAAGTCATGTGATAAGAAGCATTGGTGTTCATTACACAAGTATCAGTATAACCAATAGTACTAACTGTCAAAACTTCTTTACCATCCCCTTTGTTTGACAATAACGAGAAACATTTGCTTTAGTTTGCACAATAGATGCATTGGCTACACTTTTGTTGTCTTCATTTTTCAATTGTGGACAATTCCTTTTAACATGCTCTTTTTCTTTATAATAATAACATTTCACCTTTTTTATATGTGATTTAAAGCGTAAATGACTCTTGCTACTATATCGTCTGTCTATACTCCTACCTCTACTAATTGTCAAACTTGCTTTATCTACAACAAAACCAGAGACCCTTTCTTAAGTTTTTTAAATTGCATACTATCTTTTATGTCGTTAATAATAATACTATTTTTGTCATACGTTTTTAGTACAACTGATTGGTTACAGATTTCTCTTGATATCTTTTATCAAGTCTATTCCACATTTCTATGACTGTTTTTTGGTCAACCACTTCTCACAAAACCTCGTCAATTAGACTCGATAGAATCATACAATGCATTTTTTTCAATATTTCTTGCTTCTCTACATTTGTTAGAGTCGAAGGTAATTTTTTTTCGCCGTCTAATACTATTGCACATCCTTAATGCACAAGAATTGCCTTCATCTTCAATTTTCATAAAGCGAAATCTTTCAATCCATTGATTTTTTTAATATCAAATTTATATGAAAACTTTGTGATCACTAGAACCGGTCCTTAGAGAAAACTAAACTCTTAATACCAATTGTTATGACAGAAACTAAAAAAAAAAAGAGTAATAAAAAGAACACACAAAAATTAATGTGGTTTAGTTAATGTGACTTACATGGTAGATTAAGAGATTTCTATTTTACTGTAATTTGTGAATACAAGGTACAAAATGCATTAGAGAAGAGTATCTTATCAACTTTTAAAGTTCATGTACGTAATGACTCGACTCATTGTAACAACCTATAACTCTCTACTACAATTAATTAAGGAAAATAACATTTGAAACTCAAAATTGAGTGATAATGTAAAAAATATTTACATTGTTAGTGTATTTAAATTAAATTTTAATTTTATTATATTTAAATTTTGATGCCTTTAGTATATCAAATATTGATCCAAATGTTTATCTTTTTAAATTAGAAGTGTTTAGTAAAATTATTGTACGTAGAATATGACATATAATACATGTTTATATGATTTTAATGAAATTTTAAATTTATAGACAGATATATTTTTCAGTAATTGTGCTTTTAGGATCTTCATTAGTTAATGTTGAATTCTTCTTTATTAAAAGACCAATTTTTTATGAAAATTAAGGAGAAAATTAAAAAAAAGTATGCAAGTATTTGTGGTAAAAATAAGAAAGTTATAATAAGTTATAAATTGATCATACACAATTTCAAGTAATGTTTAAAAAATGTTAATAAATCAAACACTTCTATTTTGATCAAATAAACTTCTAACTTAGTTAAAATGACCCATTCAAAATATTTATAATATAATTATTAATAAAATAAATAAATATTTTAAATATTGATTCAATACAGATAAGATTTACTACATTTTACGATTTTTTTATATGTTATGAAAGGTAAAATTAACAAGTTAGTGGAAACCTCTTTTATGCAAGAATGTGAAATAATGGCATGGACATTCCTCAAATTAACTTTCATTTTGATTTAGTACAAGCAATCTTGAAAAGAGAATATAATCTTAATTCGTAGTGATTATCCATGATTAAAACAGTTAATTAACACTCCATTAAAATAAATTAAAAGTTGGATGGGAGTTGTGAGAGAGAGCCACATCTATCTCTCCATCCATTTCCTCAAAGCCTAATACATGGTGAGAAGGTCTTTCTCAACCTTTGTCTTGCAAATTAAATTAAGATTTTCTTTTTCATTATTCTACCAATATATGTTTGGGGGCAGTGTCAGAAAAACAAAAGTGATTTTGAGAAATTGCATGGAAGATGATGACTTACGGCTATAATTTAGTTACTTAGTAGGATAAATAATTATATTTTAAGTAGATTAATAAAATTAAAAAAACTATATTAAAAATCTCATTAATTTATTGAGAATCTGAAGATGATGAGTGTTCATGTGCCAATTATTCTCCATTTTGCAACACCAAATATCTTGATTGGACAAGAACAAAGTGAAATTCATCTGAAGAAGAAAATACCCGAATAACAAGGGAATTTAACTATATAATATTATTTTTACATGTGTTTTTTACTATATATATATATATATATTAAGTGTATTAATTTATTGTGTAATCGGTGATGAGTTAAATTGTCATATTATATTGAGATTAGTAAATGTTATTATAATTTATATTATTTTAATTAAATATTTAATAATAAATATAAATAGTTTTACTTATTTTTATAAGTTGAGTTATATAAAATTTAAATAAATATGAATATAATATGACAATAGCAATATTAAAATGTAATAATTAAAAATTGAGATTAGAATTTATTTTTTATTTTATTTTTTATTCTAATAACTTCATATAGATAAATCTATCCTATAAAAATAGATGTATACATTTTTTTTTTACACTGATTCATCGCATTCAAATTTTTAAGAATATTCCTTAAATAAAGATTAATTGGTAATTTAATTAATCTCCCAGCATTAAAAATAAGTATCAAAGATGAATCAATATATTGAGATATATCTTTAATATCACAATATAATGAGTGTGTTTCATTCAATATGAAACTAAACATTGCTTTCTAATTAATACTTGAGTCTTAAATCAAAATACTATATTTGAGTTAAAGATTAAAAATAGAATAAAAACCAATAATATCTATAGAAATGAAAAATTATATATAAATCATCAAAATCTATTTGAGTTAAAGATTTCCTCAAATCTCAAAGGAAATTTAGCTACTCATGGTACTCATTACAATAAAAGAAAGAGATAAAAGAAATAAAGATTGATTCATTGATAATTCTTCATAAGATGTCATAACTTTCCCTTTTAGCCTCTCCTTTTTAATCTATTTTGCATTTGAATTACTTTTGTGCTTTGAATTTAAATTATTCTTTGAGTATTATTTTAATAAAAAGTGAGAAAGAAAAATAGATTAAACTAATTTGACAAACATTTATTTAAACAAATTACTGAAAATGATCCTATTAAATATTTGAAAAGTAAAAAATAAAATAAAAAATAATATGAAAAAAGACCACTCACCCCCATGTTGAACTTGAATCATGAGTAACAAGATGAAAGGTCAAAAATATCTTTATCATGGAGAAAATATGTTTCAGAACATGTTGTTTATTTATTTATTTTATTGTTAAGGTCTTTGCTGAAATTATTCTCCGTTTAATCTTTTATTATAACCAATTTTATTAAAAATGAAATTGAATATAAATAAGATGGAAAGTATTACATGTTCATGTATTAATGTTCATGATATTCTTTTTCAAATTATTTAAAAACGAAAATACAAAGACAAGATATTATCTTTATAAATCAAATAACTACAATACTACTTGTTGAGTAACCATAAAGATTGTTTAAAATAAGTTTAATAAAAAACTTTACAATTTAAAAATAATAAATTATAAGTAAGAATTGTAACATCCTTATTACACACTTCATTATTATTGTTAAATTATATAATATTAATTTATTTATAATTAATTCAAAGTACCTAACAAATATATATATAATACTAACAGTGTTATATTACTATCATTAATATTTTAATATATCTAAGTTAATAAATTTTAAAATTTATATATATAGCAGTAAAATAAATATAAACAGCAAACTAAAATCTAGAATACGAGGCATGATTCCTAACATTCCTATCGAAAAAATTTCAAAAAAATGTGAAGATAACATGAGTGCGAATTCCCTCTAACGCAGACCCAACCTACACGGAAGTGCAGAAAGACTAGATTCAACAAACTAAAACATCAGCATTTCTCTCTCTCTCTCTCTCTCTCTCTCTCTCTCTCTCTCAAAAATGAAAAGCTAAAATCATCGAAACCCATTGAGCTTAAAAGGCCATGGCTTTTCTTCTGTCCAACCTCAAACCTTCTCTGCTACCCCAAACCAAATCAAAATCAAAAGAGAAACCCATTCAGCAAACGCTTTTATCAGCAAGAAATAGCTCCCAATTCTCCTTCTCTTCTTCACTTTCCACCCTCCAAAGTTCCACTGCACAGGTTGCTCAGGTGAACACCCCAACTACAGGTGCTCAGGACAAGCATCATCAACATCAAAAGGATGAATTTTATGTCAATCTTGGCCTTGCTGTGAGGACCCTCCGTGAAGACATGCCCTTGATCTTCATCAAAGACATCAATTATGACATTTATAGGTGATTTTCTCATCTGGGTATTTGAGTTTTCTTCTTTAAGACGTGTGCTTTTGTGTGTAGTTTTTTGTTAGATGTATGATGTTTCTGAAAAAGGGTAAAAAAAATGGGATTTTTAATGTTGAATTTGATTATTTCAGGGATGATATAACATTCATGGACCCTTTGAACACATTTTCTGGTATTGAAAAATACAAATTAATCTTCTGGGCATTGAGGTTTCATGGTAAAATTTTGTTCCGTGAGATTTCTTTAGATGTGTATCGGATATGGCAGCCTTCAGAGAATATGATATTGATTAGGTGGAACCTGAGGGGTGTGCCTCGTGTTCCATGGGAAGCTAAGGGGGAATTTCAGGGTACTTCAAGGTATAAATTGGACAGGAACGGAAAAATTTATGAACACAAAGTTGATAGTCTAGCATTCAATTTTCCACAGACCATGAAACCGGTTTCAGTTTTGGATTTGGTTACTGCCTGCCCTCCAAGTCCAAATCCAACATTTTTGTGGGGTCCTGTGGATTCCTACTCTTCTTCATGGATAGAATTTTATCAAGCAGTCAAGGACACATTGGATCATGATAAGAGGTTGCTACCACAAGATTCTCTGGCTACATGTTCATAGTGACCACTTAGTGAATTGTTCCATAGATGATGTATTATACTATAGGTTGTAATAGGTTAGATAAAATGAAATTCGGTCAATAGCATAAAATGGCTTTTCTCAAGGGACAAGGAGAGTGTAGAGATTAGGCAGGGATGCAGAAGAGTACAAGTTGTGCATTCTGATGATAGAGGAAATGAAGCTTCTTATGATTGGCAAGTTTATACAGATGAAATGGATACATGTGCTATAATCATGACTTCATAATCTAGAATTATTTTGAATCCTGTCTTGTTTATTTCTTCTCATACAATTGTTGAACCATATGGATGCATATGTTGGAAACAAATCAATTATTATACTCGGTCAAGCTTCTTGTAACATAGTTCCACTGTAGTTAATTCTATGACCACTTTCTTGACCTTCAGTGACTGTCAAGTTCTAGTGTAAGCGGGATTTTCTATACATGTTACTAAAATAAAATGGTTTATTTGACCAGTTATTTGTTCTTCAGGAAAAGTCCATCTATAACTGGCAGGTCTGCATATAATGATGTCTTGTAGTCATCTTACTATCTTAGCATATTTCCATTTGATACTTGCACCAGTGTGGTTAGTACAAAGATCTTGTTAATTCTTTTGTTCACTTGAGGAATAACAACTCCATATGTATTTTATTGTGACAAATGACAGTCTTTAAGCTAGCATTAGTTTATAAGCCAACCATACAACCTACAACGGCATCTACATTTTTTCCACGCATTATAATTGTTAGCTGAAATATTATTATAGAACAGAGAGTGGTTTGTCTGTATTCATCCAAAGAGTAACTCTGTTAATATAACATTCTAGGTTCAAGCCAGTGTAATTAGTCTTCCCTTTAAAAGTCCAAAATTATTTGTGGCTGTATATAACATAGCTTGAAAGTGCAGTTTCATCTTATAAAATATGGGTTTTCAGCTAGTAATTGAACTTCTTCATATGTATTTTGGTCAACATTAGGTTTAGAAAGAAAGCTGACATCTGTATATTAATATATGGCTGGCTGAGATACATGGACTCCTGCTGCTGCTTCTAGATCTTGTTACCTTCTTATTTTAGTTTGCCTTTTCGTTATTTTACTGCTGGTCATTCCGCTCTCTTCATGGTGCTGTTGCTCTTGGAGCGGAGCACTGGATGAATACATGCAATGGATCAACACTCAAGTTAGTAGGTATTCTAAGAGTAATAGGTGAAGGGTAACAGCATATATGGACCAGTTATGAGCGTCCTATTTAATGGGTAAGTATAGGGGATCATAAATTTTTAAAAAAAACATGGTTTCATATTGGAGGCTTACAGGGTATGGGTTAGTTCGAAACAATTGCTTCAAAAACATTGATGTTGTCATGTTTTCACGTTCCTTGAGAGAGTATGGATCGGGTATTCTAAATTTTGAGATTTTAAAAGCTCTGTTAGTTCTTAACTTTGCAAAACGTCATTTAATTTAGTCCGTTTTGTAAACGACAGTAAAAAGGTGGAAAAATGACCTGCAAAATCAAGAACTAAAATACTTGACCTATATCATCTCGAGGGCTAATACATGGATCTACTCACTATTCTTTCTAGGTTTCATAGTAGTTTCCATAGGCAGTCGTCTGAAATTGTTATGTTGATAAAATTCTGTGTTGATGGATTGCTTATGTAAATTGGTAATTATTCCCTTTTCTTATATTTTTTTTTCTCCTTTTGTTTTTTGGGTTACTTGTAGTTGTTTAATTTTGATCTTGACTAAAATACTATTTGACAGACTTTTATGTCGATGGTATGCTAAGGGGAAAATAACAATTGGTTGGAGAAACTTGTTTTTGATCATGTGATTCTACTGAAGCTTTGTTTGCAAGTTTGTTTGCGAGTTTTGTATTAACTCACCTCCCTTTTCATTCAAACACTTTCCTTTCTCTCAAACTCCCATTCAAACATTAATGATTGTAATCATTGTTCTCTCCCTTGGCATTTCAGTTTTGTCTTCTGACCGCTAGGAAATTAAGTGATCATGGCTTGGCATCTTGACTTAGTTTTATCAATTTATCACGATCGTCATCATTGTCATCATCAAGTTTTTGCTGCAAAACATACAAGTCTTCCATCACGACTTAAACCACATCAATTTTCTGTATGTCGGACTAATCCTTCCAGTCTAAAAGCAGAACTGTCTACATAAAGTGAAAACAATACACCTCTGAACCTATTTAAAGTAGTTTTAAGTTGTTTTACGGCCATCATATTGTATAACAGGTATAACTAGAACACAAGCTAAATCACAGGGGAAGTCTATCCAACGGTTTCACAGCTGCAATCCCGTTGAATTCCTGTCTGGAGTATTTTTCAAATGTAACCTTTAATTTTCCAACCGCAGCAGCTTTGTGGAACTTTAATATCATATCAGCACAATTCCTGCAAATATGAAAATTAGCATATACAGCAATCGCCTAACTTTGAAAACTGAAAAAGGAGATAGAAGAAGTGCCTGATCTGTGAAACTTCATAACGTGCGTGCTTGTGAAGTAGTGGGGTCCATGCTGGAGTTATTTGCAGAGTACATCGTGCAACATAGAGAGCTGATGCACATAGTAATGAAGGCTTGAATGCTAAAGCTTCATATTCAACTAAGCATAGGTCAATGAGAAAGAATGCCATGTGTTCAAGCTGAAAAATTAAATTAAAAATGTTAGAAATCAAACTTATTGTGCTTATGCATAGAACAATCAATTGGAATGTCTGATTTCTCATCCAAATTAATTGATTATCCCTTCATACCTAGAAGCAATATCAATTTGATACTAAATTTATACGATCAACAGTCTGCAAGAAAACGTATACATTTGCAGACAGTACAAGCTGACTTACATACCTTTTCATCTGATTCTGCAGCCTTGAGAAACCTCACCATAAAAACGTAGTGAGTAGGAGCATTAAGACGAAACTTTAATTTTCTAAGAATAAGCTTTTCCTGAACAGAAATCATTCCACACAATAGAAAATAACTATAAGAACCACGAATGATAAGCCTTCCACAAGTCCAAAGCAAAAACAATAGCAGAAATTGAATACCAGCAAAAATTTATATTTTATCAATTGGACACCATTACACCCTTTACCTCCTCATTTACATTTATTTTTTGTTCAACAATAAAAATTTGTCAGATCAATCTGAATATTAGCTGAACGAAAATTCACCAAGTTTGTATGCATTACGAATGTGCTAAGTCCCTCGTTATTTTATATTACTATGTGCTATCCAATGTATAGGTCACTCTTAAACCTGAGGATGGAAAGGGAGTAGAGTCATAAGAGATGCTTAATAAGAACTACATACCATTTCAAGCATTTGATCTCTTGTATATGATTCAGCTGAGATGCTAATTAGATCTTTGACCTAGAAGTCATAAGTAGTAAAAAACCATTACAATCATCACGATAAAGCAAGGCATATTTTTTTCAAAAGTAAATACTAAAAGAATGGATTCTTACTCTAGGATGCCAAAAATCCTCATACTTAGAAGCCAGCAAAAGTGCTGTAAGACCAACTAACTGCATATCAGTCTTTTTGATAGTCACTAGGGAAAGATATTGATCCAACAATGTAACTGTGAGATACAGTGTTTCTGGCATCAAATCAAATTTAAAGTGTACCTACAATAGCCAATAACGATTGGCAAAGAAAATGACTATAAGTCATCAATAGAACGAAAGATAAATAAAAGGAAAAAGACCCAAAAAGAAAATTAAACAATAGATTCAGGAAAAGACATGATGAAAATCATTTTCGTACTTCAATCAACCAGTTGATCAATATGCCCCGCATATGAGGTGTAATATCTGTTTGAATAGACATGTAATTTGCTAGAACTGGATTATGTACCTGCAGTTGAAATCAATTTTAAAATAGACAAAAACATTAGTTGAAAGTAGAGAATAAAGATAAATGTAATATAAATTTATATAGCAAGAGAAAGCTATTCGTATCATCATTATGCCAACAGGACAATCAGTGAAACAATGGCAGAATCATAATCCCTTTCTGATAACATAATGAATTATCTTATCCTAGCATATGGGAAAACAGTAAGAGTGTAAGACATCAAAATAATTTTTTCTATCATACAAAGACCTCCAATAGTTTTTGCAGAAAACAAAAACATTGTGCACTATGACCCAGTTTGGTAAACTTCTAGAAAAGTCCTTATAAGAGGAAAAAAATCAGTATAAAATATATAAATAAAACTTTTCTCATAAGTTAGAAACAACTTATGCTCCTCTATTTTTTGAAAAGCTCTCTCATTTAACTTCTCTAAAATTTGAGAAGATAAGTTAATTCTAACTTATGAGAGAAGTTTTATTCATTTTTTATATTTATTTTTTTCTCTTTAAAAAACTTCTCTAGAAGTTTATCCAAATTGGGACTATATTGAATATCAAGGTGTGTACTGCAAGTGTATGACAATTGCTGCGAGCTTGGGATACCTTTCAGACTCAAGTGCAAAAGAAGAGAGATGACATGAGCTGACAACCACTAAAAAAAGCAACAATACTAAAAAGAATGTCAAGTTATTGAATTACATTCAACACAAACAACTTACAACAGATGCATAGTCCTTTAAAGCTTAAAAATATTGAGGTTCAAATGTAAAATGCTTGTTATAGAAAATTATTACTAATTTTACAATTGGTGGACCTAGTAAAGCCTAAGATGGAATGGAAGAAGAATAGAAAGAAAGAGACAAACATGTTCATAAAAGAAATTTACTTGACTGAAAAAAAGTAAATCTCTATTTTAAATCAGTAACAAAGCAATAACCATAAAGAACATGTGACATCAAAAGCATGATGAATATACCTCAGAAAACCAATAGTACTGATATATCTCGTCAATGTATTCAGAAACTTCCAATTGATTGCATTTATTATCTATATTTGGTAGGTTGTCCTGCTCTCTAACATCACCATTTTCCTCAAGAAACTGAAAAACAAGAATACTTGTCATTTAAATTTATATGGAAACTAAGAAAGAAATGTAGTAATAAATTGAGCATCAACCTTAGATCTCTCAATCAATGAAATTGTATAAGATTTCCGGCGACTGGATTTTTTCCTTGGAATAAACTCTGACAAATCTGCTCTCAGGTTACTCTCTCCATCACATGGAAGGTTTGTTTGATTTGCATCATCAAAAACTGTCATTGAACTATTCTCAGGAATAGGCAAGGAAACTGTTTCATCATCCTGAGGCAATGTTGCCGCAGTTGATTTTGATTTGTTCTGGCCCGATATGGATTTAGATTTTAAAGTACTTTGGGCAGTGGAAGCCTTGAGTGTGGTCTTAACAATAGGCTGTACCCAATAAGGTGAAAAGTCAGGTTCACTCTCTATACACTATATCTTCAATTAAAAAAGTGCTCTCAAAGTTAATTTACAAATCAAAATGTGATTGAAACTTGAAATTATTGACTGACAAGACAGTACCTTGTGTCATTAAATGAACCAAGCATAACATCAAGCACAAAATCAGTGCATAGAAATCATATATATGTATGCCTTTTAGAAGGTTTTCTGCCATACTTTTTTACCTCATCAAACTACATTATACAGCTATCCCCTACTAATTACACAAGCATCACAGCAAAATATGAAAAAAAAATGAAACCATCCTGAAAAAAGAAGTAATCAAATGAAATGAAATTCCAATAAAATGAAGAATTATTGCTGCACTAATCAATCAAATGATGCAACTTCAGCCAACAAATTTCAAAGTACAGCCAACATACCTTGGTGGACTTCCTTGAGGATGCATGTAAAATGTTAGGTTGAACCCTGCATCCAAGGTGAATTGCATGAAAATGAACAATTAATAAATGGAAATCTCATCCTGTAGATTATCAATTGGTAAAATATGAGTCTTTCTTATTACTCAAGAAATGGACTTAGTCATTGTCGATGAGTATAAATACACATTCAGCTATAAAAAGAGATATTTACTACTCCAAAATACTAAAATATGGTCGTCTAATTCATAGATTCTGCTAGATATAAAAACATTTATCTGTTTTCAGGTGGTCTGAAGTTTGATCCTTATTGTCCTACATTCTTCTAAATAAATAAATAAAAACAAATTTCAGCACACAGTAGGGTGGACGTGCATCATGTATGCTTCAAACCCAACAGTTGTTGCATGAGGGGACATGTTAATACCATTTGTGTTTCTTCACCTAACAGCTTAAACTTATAACAGATTCATAGAATGAATTCTTCACCTGACATCCTCACATCTAATATCAACCTTGTTATGAGCATACACATTAGGATTAGGTTATATTGTTATGAGTAGTCGTATTGGACCTAGCCCATTAGGATTTATTATGTACATCTCTCTCTCTCTCTCTCTCTCTCTCTATATATATATATATATATATATATATATTAGGGTCTCTACACAAAAATATAGAAGATTGGTTGGGAAGCTGAATTACTTAACTATCACTAGGCCGAATATTGCTTTTCCCGTAAGTGTTGTAAGTCAATTTATGTCCTCTTTGACTAATACTCACTAAGAAGCACTTATCACATTGTTAAGTACTTGAAGAAAGCTCCAGGAAAGGGTACTATTGTGTACAAGGATCATGGGCATTTCCAAATGGCATTTTCTTATGCTGACTTGGCAGGATATCCTACAGATCGCAAACCTACTATAGGATATTTTGTACTCCTAAGAGGTAATTTGATTTCTTGGAAAAGCAAAAAGCAAAATGTGGTAGCTAGATCAAGCGCAAAAGCAGAGTACAAGGCTATGGTTCACTATGAGTTAAGCAAATCTTGGAGGAGATGAGATTTGGCAACACTAGTTCTATGAAACTTTGGTGTGACAACCAAGCTGTCATTTACATCACATTGAATCCAATTTTTCATGAAAAGATGAAACATATTAAAGTGAATTTTCACTTCATTCAAGAGAAGATTCAAAAGAATCTTTTGTCTGTCTCCCATGTTAGGATAGGTGATCAACTAGCAAATGTATTTACAAAAGCATTGAATGGGACACGTAATGATTTTATTTGTAACAAGCTAGGCATGATTAATATTTATGCTCTAGCTTGAGGAGGAGTGTTATGAATAGTAGTATTAGGATTAGGTTTTTTTGTTATGAGTAGTAAATGCCTAATTCAACTAGAGGCTGAACAAGCCAAAATATGGGACCTAATGACACTGTACCATGATAATTCTCTAATTCAGATGGAACTACATTAAAATTGTGGTCTTATGTAGCATCTTGTTTTATGGAATTTGCAAAGATATTCTACACAAATCAATTTGTGTAAGAAAAATGATAACATAGTGGTATAAAATTCTCCAAAACAATTAATCAAATTCTAGACATTTTCAATTTAAAAAATTTAGAAACTTAATTGAAATCATATTCTAGAAGGAAAATAGCAATCTAAAAAACAGTAGAAATATCATGGATTACTTTTTGAAGGGGTAATCATAAATATCACTGCCTCCAAATGCTTCTCCTTGGCCCATCAGAATGCAGGTCATTGCTGCAGGTCTTTAGTACCAATTTTCTAGACATAATCTCACAATGTCTAGCCAATCTATGCTAATTTGTAGATTCCTCTCAAGTTTTGCAACTTGACCAATCAAACAGACCAAAAGTACAAGTACACAACTTACTTAGAGGAAGCAGGAACTAACTAATGATATGATCAATTATTACTTACATTTGAACAAAGCCATCACTAACTCGAGTCTTCAGTAGATGGCTTCTTGCATTAATTAGTTGGGAACTATCTCTTCTGCCAGTATTTGCCTTAACTGAAATCAATAGTAAATTAAGTTTAGTAAAACATAGCATAAGTCGGATCATTGACATTTGCAGAGAGCTTATCTATGTCACATATTTTTACTAGGGAGATCACCTTGGCCTTTTGCTGTTTGAGAACTTCTACCATTTTCCTAGAAGAAAATAGAGTGAGTGGAAGAATAAGAAAAGGAAAAGGATTTTGAAAATAATTATTAAAAAGAAAACATATGAAGTCTGAATAAGCACAGCCCAACTATATGGAGGAAGAAAAATGATTGCCAATGTCCACTGCCAGAAAAGACAAACTATAATAGGATTCTAATATAACCTTTGTGTTACTCATGTCTTCCCCGCCAACCCTCCTTGGTACTGGTAAAGACTTCCTTGAAGTGCTTAGAAGAGACAAATGAATATTGTGGTTTCAGTCACATTTTATTCATAAAGCTCAATCAAAATAACAAAATGAAATACAAAAACCTTGTAGTTGTGGGTAATATAACCTTCCTTGCAAACCTATGGAGAAAAAAAAATCAACCATTAATAATTTTAAATACCCTATTAAATATGAGATAGAGACAGGATCTCTCAAGTACCTGTCCTTTGTGACAACAACCGATTGACCTCCATTTTTAGTAGTCTTCTGATCATTCAAAGATGACCTCAAATCTGTGCTTGCTGATTATTAGACAAAAGGAAGAAAAGGACTTAAAATATTGTTATAAACTGCACAAAAATTAATATATACAAGGGAATCAGTCATTTCTAATGGGAGCATCGAACTGACCATTACCTTGACTTGTATTTCTATGCTTTCTTCCCTGATTTGAGCAAGAAAAGTGATCAGTGCCACATAATTGTATAGAACTGTGCCCATTAATCAAGATTAATAGTTTTATATGACTTTTCTTTACTTTTATGTTTTTAGATAAGTGACTTGGTTGATTATATAGCCGGAATTCCATTTATTGTGCAATTTCACGAGCACTAGCAAAAGGAGTATTCCTTTAGCTGAAAACCTGATTCAGTAAATTAAAAACATTAACTTAACAGAAAATTGAAATAGAGTAACCGGTTTCCATACCTTGAAGGATTTGCATAAAGAGATGCCCCCTACTTTAGCGCTGGAACCTGCTGAAACTCTAGAAAGGCACATAAAACAGAAAATCAAATAGTGAAGCAAGCATTAGAGGAAATAAAGACAAATGAAAATGCTCCCTCATCCAAGCAGTTGTAAAGATATTCAATCAATCTGTTTGAGATAAAGCCGCAAGACCAATTTCTATTATGCAAAACATCTTTAGAGATTTAATATTATTTTTTTTCAATGTCAATGGTCAATGTAACAAACAAACCGTGAAAGTTGTTAAATTTAAAACGATTCATGTGTTTTCACTCAAGAGCTTAAGCTTCTAGGAGAATTGGTTCATGCATGGGATCAAAGTCTCTATGACCATGCAGTGTTCAATCCTTGTTGCGCCCATTCTTCTAACAAATTAACCAAAATTTGGGTTGCCACTAGATATTCTCAAGTAACCTATCAGAATATTCCAAGATAAAAACATTGCACAAAAGAATGCCACTAATAGTTAGTCACTATATCATCTGATATGTGCAAGAAAATATGAAACTTTATTGATAACTATGTACAAGATAACAAGTTCAGTTTCAAAAATAATTTGAAAAGAGTTTACTGTAACAGTTAAATACTACCCTCTCCCTTATAACTTTCTCTCTACCCAGAATAAAGAAGATTCTTACTTCACTTTGGAGCTAGCATGCCCACTAGCTGTTGTAGAGTTTCCTTGAACATTGCTAAGATCAGTCAATGCCTTTCTTACATTTATCTTTGCTATCAAAAGCCAAAATAAGTGAAAAAGATAAGTGTGCGGTGCTACATAATAGTCAAAAAATAACATGGAATGAGTTCAGCTAAAACTTACCAGAAGTACCACATTTGCCACTACTTTTATCCATACTTTTGAGACCACCCTTCACCATTAAAGTGACATAACAATTATACATACAGGGTGTAAGCAATGGCAGGCTCAAGAATAAAATTATGCAGATGTTTTCCTTTATTACCTTTGGTTTACTGGTGCTATTTGGAATAAGCCCTTTATCAGCTACCAGAGCAATCCGTCTACATAAATTGCAAATGAGGAAAGAGGATAAATAGATAGGCCACTACATTGCTCTTACAAATTCAAGGAACAAGGGGACATTTGTAAGAGCTAATGAGCAAACTCTTTTTAGCTAATTTCAATAAGTTTTTTGGCATAGCTTATCAAAATAAGTAGTTTTCAGATAATCCCAATAAGTTTCATGGTTAAATTTATGGCATAAGCCCTCATGTAAGAAAATCATATTGAATAAGTGCTTAATTAAGTTGTTCATCCAAACACATCCTAAGTGGAGCATCTACAGGAAATGAACATCAATCTGAAAAGCAACAGCTTAAGACAAGGACACACAAGAACATGAAAAAAAGCAGCAATTTTGGACTTCCAAATGAAATGCATAAAAGATATATACAATATTGGGACAAGCTTTTTTAATTCGAACCACTAGAGAATATAAATAACACGTTTAATTCTCAAAGCCTAGGAAACTAAAATCCCTTCTACAGCAGCACAGTTAGAGGGCGTCACTATTTATCCAATATCTCAAGAAGAAGGCCAAAAGTTAACCAAAACCATCATCTGTTAGTTTCACCAATAAATGCAATCACTCAGAAATCAGATTTCTACTCTTTTCCACAATTTTGGCATCTAACAACAACACTTGAGCAGAAATCACATAATTTCTAAGTCAACAAAGTTACCATACCTTGAAGTTGCGACTGCTCCTCTTGCAGATGTCCTAGAGAAACAATCAAAATTAGTTGTACAAAATGTATAACCGTATTTACGACACACTCTCAATCACACAAAGAAGAAATACTCACATAATCCCATCACCAACTTTAGTGCCGTCAATTTCCGAAAATACCTTGAAATTCCTACCACCCGCTGTTCAATATATATATATTAAATCACCAAAATATTTTTTAAAAAATTAATAATTCAAAAAAGAAAACTGTATAGCACATAATACTTCAAATTCAACAAACGAAATACTTAAAAAAGTATAAAAGAAAGTAACATATACCACTTGGGCGTGATTGGGCACCAACAGAGGCTCGAGTTGAGCCCACTCTAGATTTTCCCCGAAACATGTAAAAATCACACAAGAATCAAACTATGCGTTTTTCGATGCAGGGTTTATGAAAATTTTGAAGGTTAAAACCTTGTGAAACGTCATAACAGGATTGTGCCAAATTTGAAAACTAAATAGGAAGGGTTTCTGCAAAGTGAAATGGATGGAAAGTGGCGCGGTGCCTTCAGATTTTGAACTGGTCTATGACCTGTTAGGTAATAAAATAATAAATTTAAGTTAATTTATAAATAAATTAAATAATTTAATTTTATATATTATATATAAATATCTGAAAATTATAAAATCATTTAACAAAAGAAAATATAATAAACATAGCATATAATGTTATTATATATTGAAAAATACTACTTGAATCTGGTTAAAAAATAAAGCATAAATTTAGGGTATGTTTGTTTTTTATTTTTAAAAGAGTTTTTAATTTTTTTTAAAATATAGTATAATTTTATTATAAATACATAATTTTTTCTAAATATAGTATAATTTTTTAAAATATATTATATTTTTTCTAAATATAGTTTTCAATTCTCAGTTTATATTGATTGAAAAGACAGAATAGAAGAAATATAATTTTAAAAATATTAAATATTTGTCGATGATAGTTTAAGAGTCTTTTCAAAAATTATATTTATCGGTCCAAAAAATCGTGGTGATTGAGATAAAAAAAGCTATCATTTAAAAATATAAATTAAAATACTAAAATTTCTTTTAACGTAATTTGTTAGCATTATTACAATTAATTTATTATTAATTAGACATTTAAAATTAAAATAAAATGAAATAATTCAAACAATATTTAAAATATTTAAAAAATTTAAAAATGAGATAATGATAACAAAATTATAAATAATATATTACAATAAAAAATTTAATTATTTAAGAAAATTTGTTACATGTTTTAAAATCATTTATTATGAATACATAATTTTTATGATGTTATTATAAAGTTTTTTAAATAAATATTGTTAAAAGATTGATTAAAAAAATTCTAAATAACTTTTTTAAGTGTTTAGTAATCATTTATCAAATAAAAAAAAAACTTTACACAATAAAATAATATCATTAGTTGTATGTTACTCATCACATAAATTAATTTTATAAATATATATATTTATTGTTTATGATAGAATAAAATAATTGTATTATAATTAAATGACAAACATTTATGATATATTTATTTTACTAGTATTTAAAAAATAAATAAAAATTAATTACAGAAAAATTAATAATATTAAAAAGTAAGTGTGAACACTTTATTTTATTTTATTTTATTTTAATATTTTTATCTAATTAAATTTAAAATAACTAATTTATTTAATTTAAATACAAATAATTTTTAGGTTAAAATAAAATACATCTAGAAGTAATTAAAGTAAAATTCCTTATCAATAATTAATGCATTACTTGAACTTGATACAAAGAGAACATTATATGATTTAAAATCCATTTATTTTTTTAATTATTAACTGCAAATTATAAAAATTTGTGTTTAAATATGATTATTTAGTTTTGAAAAAAAAATTAATTAAAAGTTGATTTATTGACCTGGCTATTAGAGACGTGTTGGTCTAAGAGATCTATTTGCTCAAAGGAAATAATTGTTGAAGTGATCATTAAGTAGATCATTTTAAAATTTATGGATAAAGTTATTGAAAGTATTGGTCTAAGGGATTTATTTGACTAAGGAGGAAAAATTTTTGAACTCATTGTATGCTTACTAAGTAACTCTTCGTAGGTTTTGATCTTGATAACTTTGGTTTACACATTTTATAAATATATAATTATGTTGACCTCATTATGATATCTTATATTGGTTAAAGTTATGTAGTACTCTTACTATGTATTCTAATGCATTGTTAGTTTTTATCATCATTGTAAATTTTAGTTTTCATTGTTACAACTTTATTAATATTTAGTTATAATTTAATATTAAAATATTTTAATAGATAATTAATACTATTTGAGTGCAAAATATTTTGGGAATGTCATTGATAATTGAATAATGACCAATGAGATTATTCTTTGATATATTTTTCTATTAATTGAACATGATTTTAAACGAGAGAGAATTAATTCCTTTGTAAGAATTTTTATGGATTGCTACAAGTTATTACTACCAAATTGAAACTATTTGTATTGATTCACATAGATTTTTTTAATTCAAGAAATGTTTTTAATCATTGCATGTGATTGCCTACCTAAAGAAGATAGCTGTATGTTTGAGTTAAAAGTTGAAAATGTATGAAGTTATTAAGAAATACACTAGGTTGAGAGATTTGTTTGCCCAGTTGAGACAATTGCTCATGGATTAACCCACATGACATGGGTAAATAACCTTAATTTGTGCATTCTGCTCAAAGGGAAATGTATTATTTTACTATTCTTACTTTGATAACTTATGTCTTTCTTGAACATATATTGTTTTGTGACATTTTGATGCACTCATGTTTTGTCTTTACAAAGAATTTTTTTTTTCTTTTTATGAACAACTATTTTCTGTCCATTGAGTTATTAAAGAATATACTAGGTTGAGAGATTTATTAGCCCAAAAGGAACAATTTTCCAAGCTTAATATGCACTCATGGATTAACTCACTAGAGGTAATGACCTTGATTTATGCATTCTACCCAAAGGAAAATATACTATTTTACTGGCCTAGCTTTGATAGCTTATTTCCTTCATGAGCTATATCTTGTCTTATGAATCAATATTTTAATGCATTGGTATTTCGTCTTGACAATGACTTTACTTTTTTATGAACAACTATTTTGTGTCTATTAATATTCTAATTAAACTAAACAGTAAAGAATAAAAACAATATCTATAATTTTCTTAAAGAATTGTTAATATTTATTTAGTTTTATGTGATGATAAGCTTATAATCAATGAGTAAATTACACTTGAACAAAAGAAACTTTTGGTTGAGTGCGAGAAGTTTGATAGGTTAAGTATTTTTATTTATTTTTTATCAAGAGGATTATATCTCAACAACTTTTGAGTAACCTTTTTAAGAATGAGATAGTTAAAGAATTCCTCACCACTTTAGGAGAAAAGTGTCAAATATCTGATAATGTTGATATATAATAAAACAATTAACAATATGAGATATGACAATGTTAAGGAGTAACATAATTACTTATGAAGATGATGTACATATGATAAATCCATATTTTGTTAGGTTTTTATTTAGTTTTCTAGGATCTTTTTAATATAAAGAGTAGTTTAGAAGATGAAAATTTCATAAAAATATATAATTGTTCAATAAATTTAAATTTTATTTTTGGTAACTCAAATTGTTTGAATTTAGAGTTCTTATGCAAATGTTGTTGTTGAATTAGTTTTGCAAGAGATCCAAAAGAAAAACACATGAATTGGAAGCTTTAAGAGGTTAAGTGAGTTTAGTGTAAATACTTTGAGTGCAAAAAGTGAACACTTGAGAGGCCTAGAATTCAATTAAGGTTAAGCCTAAGCACTTTCAACACCAAAAGTGAGCATTATATAGGCTTTGAAGTGGGTGTAACTTACGCGTATTCACTTTGTATACTGAAAGTAATTACTCTGAAGGCTTTTGAGGAGATATATGATGCACGTTAGCACTTTCCTCACTGAAAGTGAATGTTGCAAAGCTGGAAAAGGTAGTATGTGTTGCCCGTAAGCACTATTTGTGCTAAAAATAAGTGTTACAAAGCTTGAAATGGAGAAATGACATGCGCATTATTTTGCTCATTGAAAGTGAAAGTTCTAGAGAAGAAATGCGAAGAATAACCTTGGCCTAAATATTTTTAGGACCAAGAGTGTTGTTGTTAGCAATTTAAACACTAGTAAGTGTACTAGTATTGCAGCAAGTAATGAGTAATTTTTAAGATCAGGATATCATCTCCACAGGGAATTTAGATTTCAAATATCAATTCACAAAATTGTAACCATTTGAGCCATACGAAAATTGAATAAGGTTTGTAACATCTAACAGCAGTAAACCAAAATAATTAAGAGTAAAGGAAACTTGCAGAAAACAGATCAATGAATGCAATGTGGGATTAGAAATGAATTGAAAGGTAGTTAGGAATTTACTTCACAAGAATGTCAATATTAATTCAATTATGCTTCTGAAAATTCAAGAACTTGATTAATTGACAATCAGTTTCGCATATCAATAGCCAAAGGTTAATCCTTTAACTCATTAACCCTAACAAGCAACTAAACCACCCTAATCCCTTAGGTGAAGTTCAATTTCAAGTTGCATTAAGACTTAGAACCTTAAGATTGTAGAATTAGGTCTCCTTATTCCTAAGAAATCCCTAAATTCCGATTGCAAACTCAGATCAGAGATTCAAATCCAACTTCCATTGGTAAATGTTCCTCTTTGATTAACCATACGAATTTCCATTCATAAATTGCAAGAAAAGTAGAATTCACAATTCAATTAATCCAAGAACTCAAAATTCAGAAGCAAGAATCAAATCAATACATCAATTCGAGTTTCATAAACCCCTAACTACAAGAAAACTACTCAGACATGGGAGAAAAGAAAGAGAAAGAAGAAGAAGAAAAAGAAGAAAAAGAAAAACTCCAAAAAGCCATGGCCGGAAGCTCCAATCCGATTCCTCTTTTTGGAAGCTTCAAGACTTGACCCCAATCTTCTCTCTCAATCTCTCTCAACGACAATCTAACAGAAAAACGAAAAATAAAACTAAACTCCCTGAAAATCTGAGCGCATCTGGTATTTATAGAAATTCCCATATTTGCGCGTTATCACTTTTATGAGAAATAGTAACTACGCAGAAGGTTTATGGTTGCGCGTTAACACTTTTATGAGAAAAAGTGGTCACGCGCAACTTTCCTGATATTGAGAGCTCTCTGGAACTATCACTCTTGCTGATAAAAGTGTCAACGCAGAGCCTAAGTAGTTGTGCGTGATCACTCTTATGAATAAAAGTGACTACGCGCAACTCGCCAAGTTGAAAGCTGTCTAGAACGATCACTTTCGACGATAATAGTGGTTACGCAGAGCT